TGAAAGTGGCAGGACTTCCAGTTCTGATATTTTTGAAAGCTTCAGAATGGCTTAAACAGCTTTCTTTTAAATACCTATCTTGTGCCTCCAACTCCCTTCTCATGTGTTAATAGCAAATGTTTCTCGGCTTTGGGTGAGAGTGCACCACAGATACTTGAGAACTGTCTAGAGAAGAGAGCTGTGTGCTCGTCAGCATGGATGAGGAGCACATACCTCATTGGGCCTGAATCTCAGAAATACAATTGCAGAAGGATGAAAAAACTCTTCCTTTAAGAGGCCAACATTTATTATTTCTTGTTGAGAACCTAAGAAATATTATCTGTCACACTGTCAGAAAACATACTACACTGATTTCAGTTCTTTACATTTAACCTCTGGAAATGTTCATATTATATGCATGGAAAAAATATGCAATTCCAAGTGCTTCATATTTCGAATCAAAATTCAAGTTAAGAATTTGAATCTACCCTTCTCTTGCAAAAAAATATTGAATAAAAATTAGGGAAATGAAATCTAGAATATGTTACATGATACTAATCTGGAAAGAGGAAGACCTATGTTAAAATCTGCTCTTCTTCTATGAGAGACAGTGGTTTGAACCCAAGCTTCTTTCCATATAGAAAAGTGCATAAGTCAACAAAGTGTAAGGTATTTTGACAAAAGTGTTCCAGTGCTGAAGCAGTGCTAACACTGTTCAAAGAATGTAAGAAAAATTGAAAACAGCCATCTGGAGGTTTTGGGTTATCACCTGAGAGTTATACTTGTGTTACAGTTTCTGCTCCAGTGACTATTTCATTATTATATCAGGTGAATCAGTAAGATGAGACAGACAGACAATAGCTAATGATGGTCTCAAACTTCTTTGATCATTGCAGCAGTTGAGCTTAGGCCTCTCACATCCATTTGGTGATCTAGCACCAACTTCAGTGTTGTGAATCTGCTCTCCAGCATTATTTCCTTTTCCATATGAACATATTTAGCAAATTTGATTCAGTGTTTGTTGTAACCAAAATAATGTGTTTTTCTGAATTTAAACTTATCACCTAAAAACTCACAGAGATTCTGTCCAGAACCCATCTCAAACTGCTGTTTTGGAAACTCTTTGCACACACTATACCTATGAGTTTTCAGAGAATTTCTTCCCTGCAAAGTCAGAGGAAGCTTTATTTCGTTATCTGCATTAACCATATTAACTGTTTGGGGTTTTTTGTAGAGTTCCCTGAGGTAGCTTCTTTTACTGAACAAAGTAAGTAAATCCATACTGCATTTTCCGTAAGGTAGATAATCTATACACTAACAATAATATAAACATTTCCAGAAAATCAATGGTCTTTTAAGTGAATGAAGACATATGCAACCACTGTAAGTGAGGTATGAAATTCTGCAGCATTTTCTAAAAACAGGATTTTAAATAATATAATTAATGCTGTAATTTAAATTCACGGATAGACAAATCTAAGTGGATTTTGTTTTCCTCTAATGTTGCACCTGTAGGTTGTAATTATGTTTTCAATGAATTTAATGCAACATTTATTTGGTTTTCAGTGAGAACTCTGAGTAATTACTGCATGTCTAATGTCAGTTATTGCAAATGAATAAAATTCTGCATATTCAGGGTCAGATTCACAACATGCATAATTTGGTGTCACCATCCTGACTTCATTGTGTTGCGACTTTTTACTTCATCTGTGCATCTGGCTCAACTTTCTGCAAAAAAGATATCTATGTCTGAAACATTTAATAGGGTATCTAAGTAAGAATTTTTTGTATTTTTCATAATTTATAACAGAGATGACAGATTTATAACAGATATTTCCTACCCTATTTCAGGTTTGTGAAAGAACTACTGGAAAAGAAAGTAAGTAGAGTTCTCAATTTTATTCACTTCTGATTTCAGAAGATCCTATGTGAATATATGAAATCCTGTTGACAAACTCTGCTGCCCTAATGACAAATCAAAAAATATATGTCTTCCTATGTAGCAGACAGATATTATTAGTCTGAAAAAATGTTCTGCTAAACATATTACTGAGGAATGGACCTGTAGCAGTGTAAATTCAGTTTTGTATGGTCAAAGCATAGCAGAATAATGTTATATTTGTGTTCTAGGTGAGGGGGTTGAGTGCTCCCTCAGTAAGTCTGCAGGTGACAACAAACTCGATGGGAGTGTTCATCTGCTCAAGTAGGAAGGCTCTGCAGAGGGACCTGGACAGTCTGGATTGATGGGCTGAGGCCAGTTGGATGAGCTTCAACAAGGCCAAGTGCTGAGTCCTGCACTTGGTTCACAGCAACCCCATGCAGCACTTGGGGATGAGTGGCTGGAAAGCTGCTTGGCAGAAAAGGACTTGGGGATGTTGGTCAACAGCCAGCTGAACATGAGCCAGCAGTGTTCCCAGGTGGCCAAGAAGGCCAACAGCATCCTGGCTTCTATCAGAAATAGTGTGTCCAGCAGAATCAGGGAAGTGATCATGCCCCTGTACTCAGCACTGGTGAGGCCACACCTTGAATACTGAATACTGTGTTTAGTTTTGTGTCCCTCACTGCAAGAAGGACATTGGGGCACTGGACATGTCCAGAGAAGGACAAAGAAGCTGGTGAGGGATCTGGAGCAGTAAGTCTTACGGGGAGCAGCTGAGGGAACTGGGGTTGTTCAGCCTGGGGAAACAGGAAACTGAGGGGGAGACATTATGGGTCTCTACAACTACCTGAAAGGAGGTTGCAGTGAGGTGAGTGTTGGTCTTTTCTCCCAGGTAACAAGTGATAGGATGAGGGGAAGTGGCCTCAGGTTGCACCAGGGGAGATTTAGATTGGGTATTAGGAAAAATTTCTTTACTGAAAAGGCAGTCAAGCACTGGAATGGGCTGCCCAGGGAAGCAGTGTAGTCACTATCCCTGGGTGTGTTAAAAATATGTGTAGATGTGGCACTTCAGGATGTGGTTTAGTGGGCATGGTTGTGTTTGGTTGATGATTGGACTTGATGATCTTAGAGGTCCCTTCCAACCTTAATGATTCTATGATTCTATGCTTTTATGATTCTCTACTTACTTTAAAATATTCATCTTCCTTGAAAGGACAATTTTCTGTTAAAGAAAGGTGGAAGCCAGTTGATCACTCTGTAGTATCTAAGTAGACAATTAAGAAAAATTCTTAACAGCAGAAATCAGTGTTTTTACAGCACAGTTGCTAATCCATTCTCAAATTAGTATTTTAGGTCACCATATATCTTCCAGTGTGTTTCTAAGAAATTCAGCTTAACAGTGAGGTAAAGACAGAGTTTTACAGTCCAATATTGCAAGCAGGAATACTTTTCTTATCTGCCTTTTGCTTTCAATAGCTTAATTTGTTGACAATTGTCTCTCCAAATATTCAAGAACAGATGCCTAGAGTTTAATGACTAATTCATATGTAGTAGTAGAGTAAGTTGGCTAATCTGCAGAAGACCTGAGTAAATTGTATCTGGGAGATGGTGCTTATGGTGATTCTGCCCCTTGCTTTCATGAGACCCCCATCTGGAATATTGTGTCCAGTTCTGGGGCCCCCAACACAAAAAGGACATGGAGTTGTTGGAGCGGGTCCAGAGGAGGGCCACAAAGACGATCAGAGGTCTGGAGCACCTCCACTGTGAGGATCAGCTGCGAGAATTGGGGTTGTTCAGCCTGGAGAAGAGAAGGCTCTGGGGAGACCTTATATTGGCCTTCCAGTTCCTGAAGGGGTCCTATAGGAAAGCTGGGAAGAGACTTTTTACAAGGGCAGGTAGTGACATAATGAGGGGGAATGGTTTTAAACTGGAAGAGGGTAGATTTAGACTAGGTATTAGGAAGAAACTCTTTACTGTGAGGTTGGTGAGACACTGGAACAGGTTGTTCAGGGAAGCTGTGAATGCCCCCTCCTTGGAAGTGTTCACGGCCAGGTTGGATGGGGCTTTGAGCAACCTGGTCTAGTGGGAGGTGTCCCTGCCTATGGCAGGGGGGGTGGAACTGGGGGATCTTTAAGGTCCCTTCCAATCCAAACCATTCTGTGATTCTACGATTCTGTGACTGTCAGCAAAAATGAAAAAGCATCCTGTGCTTCTCCTGAAGTCTGGTGATATCTCAGTGACCTGATGAAAGAGTTCTAATGAAAATAACTTCTTTACTAAGGTTCTGTAAGACTGTTTTCAGAAAAAAATATATTCTCTATTTCTGTGGTGAAATTTCTAATAAAAATAAGGCTTATTTTTACACACACTATATGGCTTAGTGTTGGCAAGGATGCAGTAAGCAATGAATGGTGGAGACAAAATGTAATTGCTGTGTAAATGCTTGTCTTAATTATGGTTACTGGTATATAGATGTAGAATCCCAAGCATGTGTTTTTAATAATTTCAGTATCCAAGGGTGCAGCCTGTAATAACCCCCCGCTTTGGCCCTTCCTGCACAGAGGATTTGCTGTGTGCACTTGGTGATTTAGCACAGGCTCACGACCTTCATGTGCAGGTAAGCTCTGAGAGCTCTGTATACAATTTAAATAGTTTGGATAAATAGCACACAGACCAGGGAGTTTTCAGAATTTTAGCAAAACACTTAAACCACATTCTTACCTTGGAGCCTATCTTTTTAATTCATTTGACATTTTTAATGGTACTCTGCAAGAACACTGTTACCTGCACAGGAAATGAGAAGGCTTGTACCTGGAAGGATGCTGAAGTCAGCAAGCCCCAGTGCATGGTCACTAGGAGACCAGCACTCAGTCTCACAGGTAACCCTTGAGTTGCTAAAGGTTGTCTTCCTAGTCTGAGGTTGTTACATCTGTCTATGTTACATTTCTGTACATAGCAGATTTCAGTCGATGAAAGAGTAAGTCGTCTGTGTATCTTATTTAACGCTGTTAACATAGCTGTAGGACTTCCAGTGTGATACATATTTTAAAGCTTACAGGCCTGTTGAGACTTCAAGTTGTTTCTTTTTTGGTTTCACAGTTCTAAGCATATACTTTTTTACAGCTATCCTACATTAGGATTTTTTGTCATTACAAAGTGGGCATTCCAAAAACATATGCTCCAATGGCAGTACATGAGGAGCTAGACTTTTATCTGAGACCAGGAGTTAATCAGCCCATCTCAAGATATGTAGTGCAGGTACCTATATGGTGCCTTGAACCCAGGGTCCACTCTGCAATAAGCTGGTTCCCTCTTTTACCTCACAGTCACGTGCATTATTTATTTATGATTTTAACATTTGCCACATACCAAGCGGACCATTATGTCACCAAACTACTAGGATGGTCTATCCAGGCATACCACCTCATATCACTTTTAAAGGAATAAATGGAGCTACTCTTTTGGGCCCCAGGGACTTCTCCAATGGAAGAGAAACCCGAGGACTAGACCTAACTGTAGGCTTTACAAATACTAATTTCTATCATTTTTATTTTTATTTTTTTTTAGCACCAGTAGGTTGCTCAGAAGGTTGAAATGTCAGGTTTAATGCTATTTAAAGCCCTCATTACTATATATTTTCTTATTGCAGAGTCACATAAGTGAGAATGAAGAAGAACTCAAACTTGTGGAGAACATGTTTCCTGCCTACCAGAATTACACTGAATTGTATGATAAAAACAAGCTGCTTACCAGCAAGGTAGCTGCATAAAAAATTCCACAGCATAGCTTAGATTTATCCATGTAGAGAATATGATGGTTAACTGTAGTTGCTTGAAAAGTTTGTATTGTATTGTCAAGGTCAGTGACATCTGGCAGAAAGCAAATTATTTTTATGTTCTCTGTGGTACAGGTGTTTGTCAAGGTATTTGACCTTTAGAGAAGCCCACACTTTTCCTAAGCATTTTAGCGGAGATGAACAATGAAAGGTTTTTATGCTTCCTGATCCATTTTTCAAGGGCTCCAAAGAGAATTGGGGCAGTGAGATCAAAAGGAGGCCAGGTAAAGCTGCTGCTGTAGGAGCTGGTAATCCTTGGGCAGTTCCCAGTTATCCTTACATTGCAATGTTCTTGCACACTGGTTTTGCCTGCAGGTTTGTTCTATGGTGCTATGGTAGGACCAACTTCATTTTTTGGCAGTTTCCCACAGAAAAGCAGCTTGTCCTGTTGTGTTCTGTGTATGAACTTCACATACAGACAGGTACACTTTACTGTTCCAGCTATCCAAAAGCACTCTCATCTCATTAGCTGATTTTACCAAGTATTGAGAGGCAGGCATAGTGGCCTGAAGAGTTGAAATTCATTAAAACTTTATGCTGGCAAGAAAAATGCAAGCAGATCTGATACCAGCCCACACTAAGTACAGGTTTGAGTGCCAGGGCACATCTTACTAGATAGTAGAGAGCCTATGCAAGGGTGAATGAACAGCCAGAGTGCTTAAGCATCAGTCAAACTGATTACAGATTTTAGGATAGAATTTTCAGGGACACAAAGGGCAGCTGGGAACTGCTTGGAAATTAGCTATTGAAATCCCATTTCTATCTTTAAAACGTCCTCCAGTAAATTATTTATTTGCAGTCCTTTTTACCTGAGAAACAATATGGACTACTTAGGCATCTATGCAGAATTAACTTCTATTTTCTCACACAGTCCTATGCACACTGATTTGTTGCATCATTGTACTTGAGAGAATATTAGTGCTGCAAACACATATGTCTGAATTCTGTCGGACTTTTATATGCGCAGCACTGAAAATGGTCACTGAAAGTCAAGGTTACTGGTGCTTTCTGCTGCCAGGTTCCTTGTTGTATGGGGAAGCATTGTGTTAAAAGACAAGCACAACAAAGCCACAGACATTCCCTGCTCCCCAGCCACCAAAACTAAGACAACAAATTAATTTTTTTAATGTTTTAAAAGTATGCTTTTCAGAGCTGTAGCTGAAATATTTCATTCTTTTTAAAAAGAAGTGCAGATCAGCAGAGATATGGTTCAGTAGCTAACCCCTGTATGTCCTTAAAGTAAGATGTGGCTATTCTCACTGCATTTTTGGTTACATTTGAGCTTGATTTGTGGAGATGGCAAGGGTACAGTGCTACAGGATGCTTAGTGAAAACAATTCCCCTGCTGTTCTCATTTCTATCAGCACATTGCAAGGCCTGACAGAGTTCTTTCCTTTGAGCGGGCATTTGGCATATGAGGTAACTCAAACTAGATTTGTCTGGAAATAGTTGGTTTATGTGCTATTAAGTGATACTATCCTATACTTCTAAGTTTTGTGTATATTTCTTGTGCACCTATTTTTTAAGTCAGCTAGGTAGGCCAAGGAAGAAAAGTCATTAATCAGTTGCATAACAAATTAGATTATTTTAATTAAAGAATATTCCAGACGTATGTATCCACTGGGTGCAAACCTTCAGAGAGACAATGTGAAATGTGCTAAGAGTACCTACATCTTCCATTGTGTCATTGTACTCCTAGCCTCAATACTTAATGTCTGTGTTAACTACAGAATGTCAATTATGAGGCTGCTACAGTGCTAGGACAACTGGGGAATTCATGCTTTTGTTCCTTCCAGCTGTTAGGTCACAGCAGTCACTACAAGAGTCAGCACCCTATATTCTTACATTGATAAATGAAAAAAAGCTGAAGGAGTGATATGTCAGACATACTGAAGTTAATGAGAGTTTCTCCACTGTTGATTTAAAGAGCGTCATTCAAGAAGTGCATTAATTTCTCTTGATGGTACCAGGTGTCCTTTTGGCTGTTGAAAGCAACATAGCAAAAATCACAGGCACTGAAGTTAATGTAATACTGAGTAAAATTGGTGATTCTGTTTTTCTTCAGGCAGTGATGGCTCATGCCTGTTATCTTTCTGAAGAAGAGCTGAAACTTTTCAGTCTTCGTGGAGCTGCAATTTCACATTGCCCCAATTCTAATTTTTCGTAAGTTAAAAAAGAAAAATTGGTTTACAATTAGATAAAGCTGTTTTTTGCATAGTACCCTGAGACCAGCCTACTATTACAAGGCTATGTATATGATACCCCATTCCACCAGGAGTGACATACTCGATTGAACATGACTGTGCTCCACTTCTGTGTGGTATGCTCTGGACTGACTTGTGATATTTCAGTAAAGTCATATAAAGA